CTTCATTTTTATTTTTGACAATGTTTATTGTTATATTCATTTAACTTTGTAAATAATTTATTTACAGTGTGCAATCTATTATTAAACTCATGCTATATATTTATTTCAGAAATATATCTCTAGAATTCACTGTCTACATCTTATATCTTTCAAATTTCAATATTTACATGTAATTTTTAAAATGATATGTAATTATTGATTTTTCAAATAAGTTAACAAAAAAATGAAATAAAGGGGAATGTTGTGGAGACATGAGAGGGAGTACACCTTGGATCATTCCTGTATTAGACTTTTATATGCAAAATAAATATTTACTGTCATGTTTTCCTAGCTCTTCTCCTTTCCTTCTCTTAGTCCTTGAGTTCTTGCTTTCCTTTTACTTGTATTATACCTTTCTATTTGTATTTCTTCTTTTGAGTTCTTATACTAGGGAAACTATATGATATTTACACATGTGTGTCTTGTTTATTTCACTCATGAGTATATCTTCAAGTGGCATCCACTTCAATATAAAGCCTTTGAGTTTATCATTCTTTATAGCTGAGTAATACTCCATTCTATAAAAATACCACATCTTTTTCATCCATTCCCCAGGTGATAGGCATCTTGGTTGTTTCCAAGATTTGGCTATTACAAATTGCGCTGCTATAAACATAGGCACATATATATCACTATGATATGATGTTTTTAGATCCTCCAGGAAAATTCCCAGTAAAGAAATAGCTGGGTTAGGGGCTGGTGAGATGGCTCAGTGGTTTAAAGCACCTACTTAGAACAAGCTTAACAAAACACACGGACCGCGGTTCAATCCCCCAGCACCACATGCCAGCCAGCCCCACCCCCTGGTGGGCTGAGCTGGGCACACACACACACACACACACACACACAAAAACAAATAAATTTTTAAAAAGAAATAGCTGGTTTAAGTGGGATTTTCAGTCCAACTTTCTAAGGAATCTCCACACTGAAAAAATCTGGAAATTTCAATAAAGCTCTATCTGGAAAAAAATATATGACCTGTGTGCAGTACTTGAGAAGACAGAGAATGTAGAGTGTGTAGCGATGACAAAGGGCAGCACACTTGGTAGTTCTGTAAATGAAATCCTTAAAGTGTGGAATTCTCTGCCACATAATTTTAAGTCAATGAAAGCACCTGGAATTGCTTTTCTTACTTTCTTTGAATCACCTATGCCTGTGAGTAAATGTTTTCATCTTTGAATTATATCAAGTATGATATAAGAAACAGACTTACAGATGACCTGAGTGCTATATTTGTTGTGTGAAACTAGCGAGGTATGAGCCAAGGTTTGACAAATTATCAGCATGCATACAACAGCAAATATCACATGAATTATGCAAAAAAATGCCAAATGAAAACTTTTACTTTTCAATAAAAAAACTGCTTGCATCACTGAAAGTTCTGTTATTGAGCCAGGAAGATAGCTCAGTGGACTAAGCACCTGCTTTGGCAAGTGCAGGGACAAGAGTTTGATCCCCAGCCCCCCATGCTGCACTAGCCTGGCCCCTGATGCACACTGAGCTGGCGAACATCCAGGCCTGGTGGGTCATGCCTGTAATCCCAGTGCTGAGGGGGCTGAGAACAGGAAGATCACTACAAGTCCAAGCTGTGTAGTGAGACCCTGTACCAAATACATAAATGAAAAAAAAGTTCCTCTATTATGTTTTTCTTTTAAAACAAAAGATGTTGTATGATATTGTGTAGATGTCCTCCCAAAGCCTCCTACAGTCATGGAGTGCAAACTTTTCCTAGTTGGCTGAATCTTGAATTTCTGATTAATTCGTGATTCAATGCTGGGATTTTAGGTATGAGGGCTACATCAACACTAGGGCAAACAGCCTGCATACACTACAAGGGACAGAAAAGATCTCTTTTTTCCCCTTGTTTTTTATGTCATCTGCTGCCATGAATGGTTGCCCCTCCACCATAAGCCACCCTGTCTTGGGGCCACAGATTATGAAATGAAACCTGTACAAACTGGGAGCTAAATAAACCTTTCCTCCTTGAACTATCAGTGTTGGGCATTTTGTCTCATCAATGAATAAAGTAACTAGGATAAATGTTAATGTATTAGTTGTTTTTCTAAACAAAAACCTGTGTTCAGGTTTAATTGCAATGTTGGCACTTTACAATAAATCCCTGTGTTTGGAGTTGCAGTTTGGGCACTTGATCTCTAAAAGGTTTACTATCAATATCTTAAATGTTTCACTACCTCCTGATAGCACAACAGCCTGGGAACCAAGACTCCAGTGTAAGGTCAGGAGTACACTGGAGATCCAAACTACACCAGGGTAAAATCTACATAAAGACATTGTGAGGTTCTATAATCGGAAGTAAAGGATCTCAAGATAAATCCTGAGGGGATTTCACTGACTTTTAAGACCCAAAAGCTACAACTCTTGTTGCATAGGTCCTGCTTTACCTTGGTCTTAATCATCCAGCAGAAAACTATAAAAATGAAATATAAGAAGTAAAGCCATGCTGTTATGTTGAGCTGTAGGGGACTCAGGTCAACAATTTCTGATATAGCCTGTCAAGTGGAAGACCCAATACTATTATGGGCTACTGGACTCTTTTAGAATATTTTGCTGGTTTTCACACCTATAATATTCAAATAATGAAACTTAACAAAAAAAGGGGATACAGATGAATGTCCATTTGTATCTGTGTATTCAAAATGGTTGGGATAGATATTTAGTTACATTCTCTTAATGAATAGAGGGATTTGTTCTAATGGTGTTTGTAAATAAGATATCATGTCCACATCTTATACAGCAATTAACCACTAGGAAGAATGTATGCAATGTGTTAATTATGAATATATGCAAGAATGTATGCAATGCAAATTGTGTCCTACCAATTTGGTTTGAAACTGTCTCATTGCTATTTGTTTCTCAATAAAATTATGGAAAAATAAATAAATAAATAAATAAATAAATAAACTACACCCCAAAAAAGACATTGTGAGGATCCATTATCTGTCAGAGAGTTATAGGGACCTGTTATAAAAAGTTTAAAGTTCTTGGCACCCATATTTCTTTGATAAGAGATCCAGAAAAGATAGCAAAATGAGAGTTTTAACATGTACAAAAAATAAACAAGTTTTATCCGTATATCAATTTTCCACAGTGAATAACATTATTTGGTATTACTGATGTGCATACATTAAAAAGTGTCCAGCACTTACTGGATAGTTAAGAAGCACTACTTAAAAAGGCCTAAAAATCAGCACAAGATAAAAGTAGGCAGAGAAACTATTCATACCTCCCCTGAGTTAGTGTTATCTTTCTGAAAACTTCACATATATGGATGCTGCTGGTTAAGTCTGAAGAGTCTTTTCTGAGGACTTTACAATTTGAAAGTTTGATGTACAACTTTATTAAGAATAAAGATATTTCTGAATGATTAACAAAAAACTAGTGGACATGGAAAACACATTTCTAAGATATATACATTTGTCAACCTCAGATCCTTTCCCAAACTTTCATTCCCTTATTTAAAAAAAAAAAAAAAAAATCTTTCACCCTGATTGTGTGAATCTTCTCTTAGAAACTTTCCCATTGTCTTTTTGCCACTGTACCAGTATTCCACGTAATTCCTTTATAATATCCCTTATTGGTAAATTCTTTTTACCACCTGCATCATCAGCCCTCCATGCTGCCAGGCAAGGTATCTCCATTCTCTAAAAGGTTACCAAGCTGTCTTATTGTCTCTTGTGATACCATGTGGGTCAGTTATACATCAGGACATCACCATGAGGGCCCAACTGTTCACCAGAAGTGGGTGAAGGCCACCCTGCAGCAGGCCACAAATGTTTCCATTCAATGCAGGCTGATGATAGACATCACAAGAAAAGTGGTTAACGGTGCAATTTGCTTCCATAGAGGGTGAGTTCATGTGAGTTCATGGAGGAGTAGTCAGAGGATCTGATCACCCTGGGGGAGGGCATACTCGGTGGTCACAAGTGGGTGTAGTTGTGGACAGCCATGAAGGTGATAGTAGGGATTGCCTTGGTGAGACTAGTGGTCACAGATAGATCTGGATATTCAGGATGTGGTCTTAGATGAAGATGGTCAGAGTTGTTCTATGTGATTGAGCTCAAAGACCTGCTGAGACCAAACGGGACAGTTGTGAGAGTGCAGTTTTTAGGGCATCCACCTCTCACCAAAGAGCATAAGTCCTGCCCATAGACAGAAAAAACGCATTACCACAGGGGCTGTATACGGGAATGCTGCCTCACAACTGAAGGAGAACTACAAGGACATGTATGGGCTTGAAACAGGCAAAGCCTATGTCTGAGAGGAATATAAACATTCAGAATGAGGCACAGAGAAATGGGCCCAGAACAGGAGGAACACAGCACCATCTGATAAAACCTGGATAGGACTATTGAAAAATGGATGAAATCAAATTATATTTGATAACATCTTTTAAAAATAAAATAAGGAAGCCCTATAGTTCCTAGGGTCTCCTCATGCTCTGAGCACAATCATGGTTCCCAGAGTCAGCTCACGGGGCATATGAAGAGCTTGGGCTACAATAGGCCTTCCTTCCTCACTAAGCTTCAGCCCCCAGCCAGTGAGGAGCCCCACCTGCATTTGAGAGAGAGAGAGAGAGAGAGAGAGAGAGAGAGAGAGAGAGAGAGAGAGAGAAGCATTGCAATCCTCAGGGATTTCTCAGAACTGCAGCAGGTCTGGCTTTCGGAATCCCAGTGCAAAGCAAAGCTGCTACAAAGCTCATACAGATTTGATATAATGGCTGAGATGGCACAAAGATTGTCTTTACCTGAAATCCCCCCACCCAACAACCTGGAAGGGCACTACCCAGCTACAAAAGATACCCAAAGAAATTGCCTGATTCAACAAATGTCAGAGAAGGCTCCAGCCTAAGGAACCTTCTTGGAGGGATAGGAGAGCAAACCAACATCCCAGGACTGACAGCAGAATGAGGCTCACCAACACAGAAACACCTCTCAGTTAGTTTAAATGTAGGCATCAATGGGGATAGAGCTCTCTGAGTAGAAGCAGTAGAGCAAAAAGAGCACAATGAACCCAACAGCACAGAGATGCACACCCATGGGAGTGAGCAGGACTCTGGACACCTCTGCTTCCTCTGCTTCCTCCCCATGGCCTTCCTGGGGCTCTTCTATGTCATCATAATCCTCCAACGCTGGGTCCCCAGACACTGAAGGCCCCTCTTTCTCCTCCACAGGCACAGGTTCGATATCCTCATAGACACCTTCAGAGGGCAGGGGCTCAGAGAGTCCAGATGCTGTAAGAACACACAAGAACCTTAAAGGATAAATACTCTTTCAGCCTACTCTCCCTCTGTCTTAGAGCCTGCAATCCCCAAGCACATTGAAAGTCCCAGTGCCTCTGCATCTTTCTCCTTGACAGGAGTCACTCTCACAGGAACTATATACCTTCTAGAGGGTCTGAATCCACTTCTGATACCCTGAACCTGCACTGATAGCAAAAGGGATGGGGTCAAACCTGCTGATGCCACATGAGTTGGCATGTCCCCCTCATCTATATCCATCTAAGAAACATGAGTTCAGAGTGCCCCAGTCCTCAACTCCTAAAGGACCCACCTCATAGATCTGCCATAGTCACTAAACAGGGGCCAGAAGGGAGAACAGCCAGCATGCAGGACAGGGACTAGAAAGGAAGGTGTTACGATGGCTGAAGTCTCTCAAGGTCACCCAGGCCTGTACTCCTAAGCCCTTTGCTAATTATACCCAGCCATATCTACCTACCCATGTAGGCAGCTTTGCTGTAGCAACGTTGAACAACCAGAACAAGGAAGACAAGGCCCAGCAGGCAGCCAAGAATCAGGCAGGTGGTCTCAGGTAGAGTCCAGGGCTCAGCAACAGGTGGAGGGGCCAAAGAAGGGGCTATGAGGAATAGAGAAAGGCGGAGCCTCCTGTGTGTTGGGATACCTAGGGCATTGTGACCCTGCACCTAGGTGACCTCAGCCTCTGAGATAGAGGGGGAGACCCAAGAAAGGTGGGCCTCAGTGCTACTTGACCAAGCTGACATTCCCCCAGATATGGGCCAAGATTACAAGGGAGAGTGACCCAAAGATAGGCCCCAGGTGTGGGGGACTGGGTAGAAGGCTCAGGTCGACATTGCAGGTAATAGATCTCTAATCACCAGGTGGGTTGAGTTAGGAGGCACAAGATAGATGCCCCAGGTGTGAACAAAGGGAAAGCCCCTGCCCTCTGCCTTCAAAATGAACAAAGCCCAAGGAGCCATAGCACACTAGGGCCAAACCCCAGCCACCAAAGGAAATCCCTCTGAGAGGTGAAGTACTCAGCCTGGGATTCCACACTCAGGCAAGCACAGGGAAGGAACGTAACAGGCATTAAGTCACAGATATGGAACACTTGAGGAGAGCCACTGTGGCACTGGGTTCCAGCCTCCGAGGACCAGGCAAAGCTCAGCTGCTCTCAGCACTCAGGAACAGGAGTATGGTTGGTGGGAAGAGGCCACCAGCCTGACACGAGATGCCCAAGACAGTGCAGGAAAATGAACTCCCGAGCACCAGCCTGAGGCAGCGTGGACATGCTGGAGCGGTGCAAGCATGCCCAAGGCAGAGGCAAGCCTTGTGCTACTCAGGCAGAGCCCAAGGGGACAGGGACAGCTTGTCCTTGAATCCCCAAATGAGACCTTTCACACTAGGTACCTATAATAGAGGATATGGCCCAGTTAAGTAAGTGCAGACATTTAGAGGCAGTGGCCCTGAGCCTCCAAATCACAGGCTCACCAGAGCAGCGCACACCTGCGTCCTCCTTGTGTGTACAGTCACTGTGCCCCCAAGACTCGGCCAAGCAGTCTAACAGTGATGCCTCACTGCCACGGCACCCAACTTCGTCCAGCCACACAGGCCCTGAGCCAGGACCAAATGCAGCCTCCTTCACGGCATGTGTGGCCTGGCCACAGCCCAGCTGTCGGCACACAACATCAGCATCGGCCAGGTCCCAGGAGTCATCACACACCGTGCCCCAGGAGCCTGAGTGCCAAAGCTCCACACGCCCTGAGCACTCGTCCTCGCCGCCACTCACCCGCAGTGTGGCCTCCTCTGCAAAAAGAAAAAATGGTCCTCTCATCTCAGGAAGCCCAGCAGGATGCACAGGTAAAGCAGGCCATGGAGGGAATACCTGGGCAGCTGAGCGTGGATGAGCAGTTGGAAGTCTGGTCATGGTCCTCAGGAATTTCTGCCTTCTCTGTGCGGGAAATTAAAAAACATTTCAGTACCTGGAAAGAGGCTTGAAGCTTTGTGCCATATTTGTTTCCCCTCCCTTTGTCTTTGTGTCTCTAAACCAAAGAGGTTCTGCTCTGGAAAGGAACAGCAATGTTTGTGTTCAAGGGAAGGTGTCCACACAGGATGAGGTGCTCCACACACCTGTCCCCTATGAATGTCCTCAGGAGAGGCCCAGGAGACCCAGGAGCTTCCCCCACTGGGCAAGAACAGAGGGCCTAAGAGGACTCTAGATGACCCACACTAATGCAAGAGCCTCATGGCAGGAACCCCCGACCACACTGCACACAGGCACATTGCCCCCCACTCACCTGCACACAGGATCCAGGCCTCCTCCTGGCGGGAGCAGGAATGCTTGTCCCAGGGGGCTGAGGGGCACTGCCACAGGAACCTGTCATGCCTGGGCCTGCACTGAATGGAGGCCAGCCAGAAAATCTCAGGGGAAGGCTGACTCTCTGGCCTGGCCAGCAGCTGCCCTTGGGGCCCACAGTCCAGCTGCCCACACAGGATGCCCAAGGAGGTGGCACTCAGGGTTTGACAGACTCCACCCCAAGTGCCATTGTAGAAAACTTCCAGCCGCCCTGCACATGGCTGTCCATAATTCTGCAACCTGAGATCTGTGAATTCTGCAGAGAGAGACCAGTTGGGAAGGAGGGCACAGGAGAACAGGGACATGCAAGACACAATGGACCTCGCACCCACCTGAGCAGAAGACCCCGGCATCCTCTTTGTGGCCACAGTCATGTTGGCCCCAACCTGGTGATGGACAATGCCACAGTGCAGACTCGTTGCCCAGGCAGCCCAACTCATCCATCCAGATGGGCCCAGATCCTGAACCGAAGTGGGCAGCCCCTGGGGCACTGAGGGCACGGCCACAGCCCAGCTGCTCACAGACCACGTGAGCGTCCTGCAGGTCCCAGGCGTCGTCACACACTGTGCCCCAGGTGCCTTGCTGCAGCACCTCCACACGCCCTGCACAGCGGCCAGGGCCCCCAGCCAGCCGCACCCGAAGGCTCCCTGAAGAGAGGCTAAGTGAGAATATGAGAGACCATATGGGGCCCAGAGCACAGGAAGAGTGGAGTCCCACACTCACCAGTGCACACGACACCCACGTCCCGTGAAGACCCCGCAGGCACCAGCAAGGACACTGATACATCACACTGGGTCAGGCGGGACTCTGCGCCCATGCAGTGCACCTGGCTCAGCCCCACCGGGACAGCTCCAAGGCCAGGAGCCGTTGTGTCATAGGCTCGCTGGGCCTCTCCACACCCCAGCTGCCGGCACACGACACTGGCATCACGCAGGTCCCAGGCATCATCTAGGACACGGCCCCACACTCCATCCAGAGAGACCTCCACACGACCATCACAGCGACTCTGCCCATCCCTCAGTCTAAGGGCTCCAGGGAGACCTGGGCGGGATGAGGAGAAGCCACTGTGGAGTACCTGCATTCCCAGGCTCCTGCTGACCTATCAGTGCCTCTGTGCCTCCTCTCAGCCCTCTTCAGCTTCTGTGTCTCTCACCTCTTTATTCTCTTTCTTCTCCCACAATCACCCTCAACTATAGCCCTCTGTCTGGCCTATACCATGTTCACACACCTGCTTTAAAACTTCCTAGGCCTGGCCAAATAGCTCAGCCAATTCAATAGCCTGCTTAGGCAGATGCAGGGGCTGGGAGTTCAATCCTCGGGCCTGGGGCACACTGAGATGGCAATTGAGACTGGTCGTGGTGGCGCACACCTGTACTCCCAGCACTTGGGAGGCTGCAAACAAGTGGATCACTATGAGTCTGACCTACACAGAGACTCTGTAGACCCTGTAGACTCTGTCCTAAATACAAAAAGAAAAAAACAACTTCCTTCACTCTTTACCCAGTGAGTGTCCACCTGACTATCCCCCTCTTCTGCCCAGGGCCCAGCTCCCAGAGCCTGAGTCCACCCAGCTGCCCCTATCTCACACTGCATGAATTGCACCCACCTGAGCAAGAGGCAGACGCAGAATTTCCCTGGGCACAGGGCTTCGCCCCCAGGGTGCTGGATGGGCAGCTCAACAAATGGGGTTCTGTTCCCACACAGTGAAACACATCTGGCCAGATGGGAGCATCCCCGTACCCATAACGTCCTCCTCGTGGTGTGGCCACTACATTCCCACAGTTGAGCTGATGGCACAGGACAGTGGCATCTACCAAGCCCCAGTGGGTGGCACAGAGGGGTGCCCAGACTCCCTGCACCTGGAGCTCCACACGGCCCTCACAAGGGCTGCTGCCATCGACTAGCCGGAACCCTGAGGGAGAAGTGGAGTCAGTGAGGTCCTGGTGGCCAATGCCCAGAGACACGGATGCTCATGTGGGCCTCCTTGCGGTGCATACTGGGTCTTGGAAGTCAGGCAAAAGGCAAGAGAACAGCTTTGCAATGTGGAATCATCAAAAATTAGCCTAAACAATCACGATATCCATACCTCCACTTGAACAGTGATTAAGCTGGTTGTCAAAATCAGGTTTGTCTGAATACAGAATGCGGGAAGACCCTAATGAGAAAGAAACTACCTCTGTTACACAGGTAGAAAGTGAAAGTAGGCAGAGTCACTCAGTGGACACAGCACAGACTTCATCTGCAAAGACTAGGAGAGTCCGTGTTTCCTGTAGCACCCTTCTGGGAGGCAGTGAGAGGCAGCAGGCCCCAGTTGTAAGATACTGTCAGTGGCCACATTTTCTTATTCATAGTTCTAGCAATACCTGTACTAATTAGAGCTTAAAAATATATGTTAAAAATATGTTTCCCTGATTTTAATTATAGGGAAATGGGGTACAATTTGTTGTAGAGAGCATCATGCAAAAGGGAAGGAATACTGAACTAAGCCTTGAAATATCAATGAGTTTTTAGTAAGAAAGAACTTTTCTAAACAAAATGACAGGAATTCAACAGTGGTTGTTACATTGCATATTGTTGTCTTCAAATTAGATGTTCAGATTACCAGACATGAGCATGCGAAATTGTCCAAAAAATTAAAAAAAGAAGAAAAACTAATTTCAAGCATCAACTGTTCCCTTCAAGAGACAAGTAGAAATTAGCAATACAATTATCCCCAGTAGACATATATATTTTCCCTTCTTTCTTTTCCTTCCTCCCTCATCCCAATTGTTCCTTCCCTTTGAACAGTTGCTATATTGTTTCTAATTTTTTATTATTTTTATTCGCTCTTTTTTGTATTTTAGGGAAGGGTCTACAGGGTGTTCAGGGTCTCACTACTAGATCGGACTTGTAGTAATCGGCCTGTTTACAGCCTCCCAAGAGCTGGGATTACAGGAGCACACCACCATGCCCAGTCTCAATTGCCATCTCAATGCACCCCAGGCAGGGGGCAGGGCTGGCTTGGCAGGCCAGAGAACTGAACCCCTAGCCCCTTTTCCTGCTTGCAAGCACTTTAATCCGCTGAACTATGTAGCTGGCCCTTTTATTCTCTTTTTAAAATTAAAAAAAAATGTTAAAAATAAATTTCTATTGGATTTTCCTACTTTAAAAAAAAGAAGAAAAGAAATAAGAGCAAAACATCTTTTTATTGAATGATATTGGTGGTAGGAAAGTTTTGCTTTCAAGGGTGAAAATCAGAGATTGATGGAACAAAGAGGATATTTATGGAGCAACAGCACAGTGAAAAGTGCAACAGCCACATGTAGCAGGATCGTGGATATTTCTAAATAACACATTGTTGATTTAGCAAGAAAATTGGCTGAATAGAATCAGTTTTGGAAAAAAAAATAATTTTACTAATAGAATGCAGGAAAAAATGATAGAATAGAGAGTTCTGGCAATATTTAGACAAGAAGCCTGGGTTCCAGAGAATGGAACCCAAATCTTCTTCAGCGATACTACAGCAAAGCTGCCAAAAGTATGAGACAAAGAAAGAACACCAAAAACAGCAAAAATTTCAAGTCACACAAAAGGGAACCCTCATGAGCAATAGTAGGCTTCTCATGGAGCACTACGCAGGCCAGGAGAGAAAGGACTGTGGGCATCATGTCTTGAAGAAAAACCTGCCAACCAGAGTATTATATCTAGAAAAGCTCTGCTTCAGCAAAGGAGAAGTAAGGGCTTTGCAATACAAGCAAAAACTACCAAGCTGATGAGCAGCAGACCAGCCCTGCAAGAAATGCTTACAGGAACCTTGCACGAGAAGCAAAAGGGTGAGAACACACAAAAGCACAAACTGAACAGTAGAGCGGATTCCAAAAAGAGAAAAGGAGGCTGATCAAACCTCGTCAGCACGGAAAATCACCAAATCACACAAATGGAAACAAAAAGTAAGAGCCAGGGAGATGGCTCAGTAGAATAAGCACTTGCCTGGCAAGCACAAGGGCCTGAGTTCAATCCCTGGTTCCGCCAGAAGAAGAAAG